TGGAATTTAATGTGGAAGTATCACCTAAGAAGAAACAGAGACAACTGAGGTCTACAACTTGGGATTTTTTTTTCCTTTTTTTTTTTTAAATTTTTCAACTTGGGATTTTTTTTCCTTTTTTTTTTTTTTTAATTTTTAAAAAACAAAGTTGGTAAACAGTGACCACTGTAGCTGGCTCCAGACATCAACCCCTGACACAGTGATTTGTACCTACAGCAGCTGAGACTCTATTGATTTCACCACTCTGACTGTGATGGCCAAAGACATCTTTCTTTGAGCCGCCGCTGTACTTCGCTGCTGGGAAAACCAACAGACTTTCCAGCTCAGCATCGTCTGCAGAGGTAATTATCACAAACACGATGACTTCTTAATAATTCAACTAGGACATCAAAGCTAAGAGGGTCACCCTCAAATGAATTATATTTATTAGATGGAAAAAAACACTTGGAAAATATATTCTAAATGCACAGTTTTGTCCTGGCGGGAAGAGGGTTTAATTGCTCTTTAAGGTATTTTCCATCTTTATATTCTATGATCCTCTGAAACTTTGTTTAGTGTCCCTCAGCCAATATTCTCAACTCCCAGCTCTGGAGAGCTCTTATTTTTCTAGCAAAGTTAAATTCATTTTTCCAGGAATCACTCATAAGGCATTGTAACAATCCAGATTTGCAATTTTTTCCTACTCATTTAGTAATTTGATTAAAAATGAAAAATAACAACAAAAAAAATCTGTAATGTTATTTATAAACCTGTGTTGTTTACTTACTCCTCAGTTTGTTAACCTCTAAACACGTACAGATTTCATTTTCATTTTTTCCCCAGAAACTGAAATTGAGTTTACAAGGATGGCAACTGCCAAGTCCGTTCTTATTTCGAAGTTCAGCATGTAGGTCCTGAACCTCCCTTTAAATGCTGCAGATGTAGCTTACCCAGACTTGCTGAGATCTTTACAATAAATTCATATACATCAGTGTTTCCCTTCTAACCTTCTAATCAATGGATTTATTTAGATCTTCCTTATTCCCCAGCTGTCCACACAAGCTTTAACTGAGGGTGGGGAGAGCCTGGCCCAAGTTGTCCAGAGAAGCTGTGGCTGCCCCATCCCTGGAGGGGTTCAAGGCCAGGTTGGAGGGGGCTTGGAGCAACCTGGGCTGGTGGGAGGTGTCCCTGCCCAGGGCAGGGGGTGGCACTGGATGATCTTTAAGGTCCCTTCCAACCCAAACCATTCTGTGATTCTAATGTTTAGATTTGATGAGAAAGTCTGTATTGCACTGTAAAAACATTTGAGATGGCTTAGCAAGTCAAATTGAACAGCAGGACATCTTCTGTCTTCCTGCAGGCTGCCCGCAGGAGAGTGTTGCCTGGCAGCACAGCCCACCACCCTCAACATTGGCATCTTCACACTCAGGAAACGCATGGAAAAGCTTAACGTTTTCTGAGCTGGAGGAAGGACACGGGGAGACTGTCAGCACTTGGGCAATTTGGACTCTTTTTCCAACATCACGGCAGAACTCACACTGTAGTCACCACACAGATAAAACAGCCTCGATTTAAGAACCTTAAAAGCCTGATCAGGGATGGAGAATTTGGTAAAGGGGAATTAACTCGTTCAAATTCTTTTAAATATCACAGAGTTGCCAAGGTGCTGTTTAGATTCTGTGAAGCAACACCCCAGACTCTGAACATGGAGTGGAAGACCCCTGCATCTAGAACAGCACTGGAGTAGCCATGAAATGTGTTCATAGGAAAAAAAAAAAAAAAGAAGAATGAAGCTACATAGCATTTATAGAACTCTGCATGGAAAAGTAAATACTTCACCTGTTTCCTTGGTTTGACTCAAGTAGCTACGATCACATGGATACCTTCAAATAACACTGTCAAAAGCCTGCTCAGCAGTGCTCTGGGACACTTTGAAAGTGGTCCTATTGCTGGATCTCACATATTTAGACTGATGCCTTGAGAACAGCAATAGAAAATTCTTTCAAGTACCTCATTGTTTTAAAAGAGAGCTACAAAAACACCAATGTTTTAACTCAGATTTTATCAGCTCTGAAAATACTGACTGAACTATTGATCTTTCAGCCTGAGCTATTCTGAGGGAAGGTATGAAACCCCCATCTGGATTGATTTAGCTTCGGTCTCCAGAAACAAGGGCCGTAGCTGTATACATAATGATACATTTAGGATTACATTATAAAAGGCTACATACTTGAAAAACAGTCCTATAACCGAGAGATATAAATACTGTTATTGCACTACATGCATTAAAGATCATGAAACCAGCACTGTTTACTGGAAATAAAAAAAAAGAAAAAATGCTTACTAAAGTAATATTTAAGATTTTTACAATTAGAAGCCTGAAGAAAACTTTCTTTCAAGTGCTCTGAGAGGATCAGCTTCATTAACTACTTCCTGGTCTATCACTAGATAATGCAGCTCCAGATCAACCACAGAGATGGGATGTTTTAGAACCAAAAGCCTTACATCAGTAATTATTACATATTTCTCAACATAAAACTAGCATGACTTCTTAAATCATTGTTACAGATCCAAAATCAGCTCTAACAACCCAGCATTACACTGCCACACTATGGCACAATTAAGATCTGCAAGCAAGAATAGGACAAAAGACAATAAAAATAACTGCTCTATTTAATTATTTAGGACTACATTATCCACTATTAGTTTTGTTTGCCTACTACATTTGTAAAGCACTAAAACCAAACTGCTGTGTCTTGTTCAGGAACAGCTATCTAGATATAAAAATAAAATCTGCAATCATAATGTAATGGGTTTTTTGTTTTTCCAAAAAGAAAAAAAGACGTAGTTTACTTTCTACAAGTGTTAAAATCTTCAAAGACTAGTTTGATCTGCCTGTTGCACAGATGGGGTGCGTAGGGGAGTGGATACCAAGGGCATTTCTTTACTGTGTTGGCTACAAAATATAGAGCTTTTTGTTCTCTCCATTACAATGTGATCTGAAAGGGTTTCAGCAGACAGCCAGAGGGAAAAAGGTTCAAAAGACCTTCTCAGAGCTTGTTTTTTGTTTGGTTTTGTTGTTTGGCTTTTTCTAATCTATTTGAGGTAACACTACAGAATCGACATTAATTATTTCCTTATGTTAGAAGATACATAATTTCAGATCTAAAAATTTTTAAAGATACTTAGCATTTCCACATTTTCACTAGTACGTTTTGTGAGAACTTATCAAAAAAAAAAACCCAACAACAAACCACAAAACGTTTTTTTGCTGACCTTGAAGCACAGTAACCTAGGGTGGCTGAAATTTCACATCTAACTTAACTACAGCAGGAGCTCTAACTACTGTAGAAAGTATACATTATTTTAATTACTTTGCCATTTATATAATTTATACCTTCCATCGCATTTATTTCGCAAGAAAGCTATAAATCAATTTTGTATCACCATTACCAGTACTGCTTTATGCATCCTGACATTCCATTTTTTAAGTGTTTTCCTAATAAATCAAAGGTTATACAGAAGGAATTGGCTGGGGCCAAGACCATACCAATTATTTTACCTGCAAGAACTTGCCATTATAAACATTTCCCACAAGGCATAATAAAACACATGGCTAGTGCCACAAGACTTACAGGAATATCCTGTACCGAAGCATTAAATAAAGATTAGAATGACTAGCTGGGGTTTCATTTGTTCCACCCCTTCCTTAGTTGCTATTGTCACCACTTCAGCTTCCAAAAAACGGCAAAGCCCAGACGCACACCAGGCCTTTCCCAACAGGAATGTTTATTCAAGCTTTTAAAATCCTGAATTAAGTATCTTTCATCTCTAAGCACTTTCAGGCACAGACTGCTTAAGCCCTTGATGGACAGGGATTCTCTTTTGCACATCACCTGTCTCTAAGCCACATGCACGTATGCACGTACACTCCTAATATAATTTCTGTTATTAGGCCTCTGCTTATACGCACGTACTCTCTTAATATAATTTCTGTTATTAGGCCTCTGCTTTCAGTTATCACACAATATCTGTCAATTTTTTTACTGCCATTAGCCCAAGCACAAGCCCCCACGTTACACCTCGGATCCCAAGGACTCCTAATAGTTGAGGTTTATAAACAGCAAACTGAACATTATAGTCTTTTAACAAAACCAGCTCTAGAGTCTCCCTACCGAATGTGAAGTTTCCATGAGCATTCCTGAACTGACTGGGGCAGAATAGGTTCAAAGAAGTTCTATACTTGCACATGGTGGCAAATCTGCAGATGACTACCACTTAGGACTTGTGATTTTTGGAAGCCCTTTGGGAGGGGAGGAGCACAGCAAACTCAAGTGACGCCACATGAAGACGATTTATGGAGAGTCCATACTCAGCAGCTTTAGCGTTTAGCAGTTGCCCAAGAGTCAAGCTGAACGGCACGAGGAACTTAAAAACAACTTCCAAATTTGCAACCCCTCCCCAAAATCCAACGACAGGAAATTTTTAAAGTGACTGTTTTTAACTGCACCCAAATATTTAGCAGCAGATACTACAGCATTTCTGTTATTCTGTACTTTTTAGCTGCAAAATCAATTTTCCCTTCCCCAGCTGACAGGAGATGTATCTTTTTCAATTTGTCATTCAGGCGTCACAGGTATTTAAAATTAGATAAACCTCTTTAAAAATATGTATTATTTAAATTAGAAAGATTTAGGCAGAAATTCGACTACTGAAAAATGCTGTTTCTTACTACATCTTCCCTCACAGCCTGCTCTGTGAAGGATCCTGTATTCCCTATCAGATTAATTGGAGTTCTCAATTTGACTACTGAAAAATGCTGTTTCTTACTACCATATCTTTCCTCACAGCCCACTCTGTGAAGGATACTGTATTCCCTATCAGATTAATTGGAGTTCTGTCACACGGAAAAGATTAGTTACAAGAAACGGCATCCTTAGTGATCCTCAGAAGAATCAAACCCACCCTTCCTTGTCATTCAGCAGGCATCCCCTTCTAGGAAACTACAGGAAACTTCATACCTTGCGGAACTTCTCCATCTGCTTATACAGATCTGGATCCAGCTCCTGAGACACATCTTTCATCCAGAGCAGAGCTCCTCTGTATTCGGTCCGATACTGCTCCATCCGGTTCACTGTCAGCCACGTGTCCGAGATGGCCCGATACCTGAACGTCTCCACTTCTTGATATAACCTACTCAAAGGGGCACGCAGTGCTAACCTGGGGGAAAGCACCAAGGAAAGAAAGGAAGGAAGGAGAGGAACATGTTAAAGAAGGTGTTTCACAAAAGGCAGACAGATTAATACAACTGCTGACACTTGACTAGCCATCAAAAAAAACCCACATACAGCCCAAAGAGTTCAATTAGGTGCTAGTGCATGTTCAGAGTGTTTTACAGCTTGGTAGGGGTACACATGAACAGGGTAATTTTGCACAAATATTGTGTTGCAACCTTCCTATTCAAGTAGTGACCTCTCACTTACACATGGGAGTGGAAAAGGAACGTTTCTAATGTGCAGATGTATTTTAGCTAGCCAGATTGCTTACATTTATGCTATTAATGTTCCTCTTTGCAAGTTGCATTTAACAACTCTAAAAATGTACCCAAGGTAATTTATTACCACACATGTATCAGGATTGTCATGTTAAGCCCCAGAAAAAGCACTTCCATTAGCCTTTTCATCTTCAAATGTACATATCAATAAAGAAGTCATCTGGCAAGCAGACAATTATCAGATTTTCTTCTTTCTCCTCCTTTTTAAGGAATCTGAACAATGCCTTTGAAAGACACTTAACTTTTAGAAGGATTTAGGCATTTTCTTAAATGTTTCTTCCAGCAAGCACACTTTGGAAAGGCAGTAGGGGACACTGTTGTCTTCCCTATGCCGTCACTTTGGCTCCTAATGGGATTTCAGAACCAGACTCCAACATTTGCTTTGCTCTTTCCTGCTGCCTCTGTTTTCCTCTTGGTTGCCAGCAGCCACCTCACTGGAATGGATTTAATCAGTCCCACACCAGTGTAGGGTTTAATGTGCTACTTGGGGACTTCCTAGGCATAAGAGAACTTCTAATTTCAGCTCCAGTAACCAGCAGACCATCTTCTTGATCTCCAGCTACTGAGCTAGCTATTGGCATGGAACCTAAATAAGAGCAGTCCCAGCTTCAACTCAAGCTTCAAGGTGGCTCAAGGGAAGAGAGACAAACAACTGGTTTTATTTCTATATGAGTTTATTTTAAAAGAAGGCTTATAAATGCATTGAGAAAGAGTCATAATAAAGTGGGAACTTCTTATTGTGTCTTTTTCCCTGCACACATTTTTTCCTTATTCTACAAATACTTAGCCAGTCATTCAAAAGAAAGTGCAGTTGATGTAGATGTCATACAGTGGGATTCCCAGAAACAGTTAAGTTTTAGAAAGAAGAGTCATGAGGGCTTTTGCTCAAAAGTGCCCTACGTGTGTTTTAAAGCCCCCACTCACGGCTGTCACTGGATGTGCCAATCACCAAACTCTAGCCCAAGATAAACACATGAAATTCTCCGTGCTCTGTACGTGACGTTTTATTTTGAGCCAAACAGCTGCACTGTTAAGCTAAAGCTGGAAAGTATCACAGTAATTAGGAGCCCAAGAAAATCCTGTAGAATATAATGGAGCAGAATTGTCCCTTGCAAATGATGGTGAATTTCAAGCTTTCGTAGTCCCAACACTGTTTGGCTCAGAGGGGACCTTCACCTGGGGGACTTCAGGGTGTAAGGTTAAAGCAGAAAATGGCATCCAGACTCCTCCTTTCTCCTCTATTTGAGGTATGAGATTCCACGGCCCAGAAAAAGGCATTCCCTCACCCACTCCCCTGCCCTCCCAGGCCCCAGCCACCTCCACAACGGGTCTGACGTAGCATTTCTCTGGAGAGTGAGAAGTGCCACCAAGCCCGAGAAGGACCTGACATCAGCTCCTTTCCCACCCCACTGCTAGAGAGGCCACACAGATGCACCTTTAAGAACTGCTGAGCTGAAGAGGCAGAGGTGGGGCATCTAGAGACATGTGGATATACAGCATCCGTAAGACAAAAAAAAACAGAATCAGGCAAAACTGCACAGAGTACGTCAGAAATATCACCAATACTACAGCAGGTTTGGTCAAGAATAATTTTCATTTCATTTGGTTCCTCACACATTTCAGATGGCAAAATGAATTACACCAACAGTGAATCAACTACCATTATCCCTTCAGATGGCAATACACCAACAGTGAATCAACTACCATTATCCCATGGATTTTGTAAATCAGACAGTGATTCTGCCACACGTACCTCTGCTGAGATGAAAAGCAGAGGGCCTTTCCCGTGGCTTGCATCATTTTTCCTGCTCTTGTTTTATCCTGAGAACCCTGCGATCGAAGAAATTTCCCCAATTCATTTTCTTCCTGAGACAGAACTGACAAAAAAATAAATGAGTGGTCAAACACGTTATTTAATAGGTTCCTAAAAGCTTTAAAATTGGCCTAACATCAAATAGGTTAAGCCACTTGAAATTCAAGCAGCACAGTAAAAATAAGTAATTTCATGGAATTCCTGCATTGATTAAATAGATCTGATTCACTCGAGACATACGTTGATGGGTTTGCTGTAGTTAAAAAGAGTCACAAAATTCCATCAGAGCTGAAAGATATCAGGAAAAAAATGCTATTTCTTTCTTGAACAGAAGAATTACATTGGTTAGATTACACAGAGGGACCAATCTTGGTTCCAGTATCTTTTAGTCTTGGGGTTTTCAGTTTGTTTGGGGTTTGGGTTTTGCTTTGTTTGTGTTTTTTTAAATTCTTTTGTGCCACCTGGACTGCCTCAGCTGACCTCTGGTATTGCCACCTGGACTGCCTCAGCTGATCTTTGGTAGCATACCTTCAATGAAGCTAATTCTGTTACACTACCCAAAACACGGTCACTTGCTCTTCTCTTGCTCTCCATTTCTCCTGCTCGACTACAGAACTGACTTTTTCACATGAAAAAAAATCTACTATTTCACTTTAAAGAACATTCATTTTCAAATTCCTTTGCAGGATTATTTTACAACTTTAACATTCCACACAATTAAACCACTATTTTTTAATTTATATTTCAAACGTTTGAAATATTTCTATTTCAAATTAACTGGCTGTTTTTTAAACAAGAAGATGAAGAATAATAAGTGTTTTTACACTGTCCTGTTGACTACTTCAAAACTGAGACCATGAGCCTTCATGATCTCACATCCTTACAAAAACACTTCATTATGGCCTCATCTATTAGTCTTTCAAAGCAGCTGTCTCCTACAGCACCAATTTCTTCCCTCCACCACCTGGGAGAATGGACTAACATAATGAAAGGACATTTTTTGAAGTCTTGGAATCCAATGCAGACTCATAGCACAGTCTGACAGAACATGCTTCATGCACATCTTTGCATCAGAGATTTCATCTGCTACTCTGCAACACTTCTGGAACTCAATAAACTGCTGTTCTGTACTCTAATTTTACCTCCAGATCCTGAAACATCATCTCAGACTCTCTTTGGACAGGCAAAAGAAAAAGGAAAGTCTGGAGAAAATATGGACAATATTCCACGAAAGAAAGTAAACTGAAATATGTCTCCAAAGCCAGATTCTCTTTTCTAGGCCAGAAATCACAGCAGCAAAGAATCAAACAATATTGACTGCAGAGAACCTTTAGAGGTCGTTTAATACAACCTGATGTTTGAAACTTCCCAAATGAGGCCCCTCCCTGTCTCTCACTAATGACTGTCACTAATCACTGTACCCCTGTTACAACCAAGTCAGTATTACCAAATTCATCATAATAGCACAGATTACTCAATTATAAAACTATTAATAAGCCCAATATTCTTCATAGCAAACCCGATTAAAAAAAAACAAACAACAAAACAAACAGTTCAGGACAGAGTTAGGATTTCTAAGACAAGACACTTCTGAATTTAAACTGGCCAAGCGATTAAAGGAAAAAAAAAACAACTTAAAATGCAAACTTTCTCCCATAATTATTGCTACCCATCACTGCATAATATCAAATATAAAACTTAAGAACTAGAAGATCTTCAAGCAAATAAGCAAGCCTGCCTTTAGCTGCTTGCAAGGAATGTTTTTTGACTAGGATGAAACTAGTAGCTTCCCATTTTCACTTTGACTTTTTCACTTGTTGGCTGATTCCATAACACAGACCTCCTTATGGCATTAGTGACTGTATTTGATCATACTTACAACAAATCCTTTTTTGATACAGTTCAATTGCTTTCAGCAGCTCCATACATGTTCTCTGAATAGAATGGAACAGCTGAAATTGAAACAAAACACACACAAAAAATTGTAAGGGTATGCAAGAAACACTGACAATTAAAACACAAGAAAGAGCTTAGTTTTTTGTAGAAACAATTAGGCATCACTATTTTCTTCTTGAACAATGAGTAATCATTCCAGCTTGAAAGTAATTTTTCCTTATCACTTGTGCTTTACTTTCAATTAAGTCGTTCACTGAAGCTACAGACAGACCAATCATAACTTACAGAAGTAAAATAAAGACAAAAAGAATTTTGGAACCAGATCTATAGTAAACAGCTGAGAGTTAACCTAACTATTCATGTTGGGTTTGGGTTTTTTTGTTGCTATCTTCGGACACATACGAAGATGTATGAGTCTTTGTTCCTAAAAAAACTCAGAGCAGAGCAAAAAGCCTCCTTTTCTCCAGGCTGAACACCCCCAGCTCCCTCAGCCTCTCCTCATAAGACTTATTCTCCAGACCCCTCACCAGCTTCGTTGCCATCAATACTCTTGATTTATAACCCTCCACGAAGACCCCATAGCTGGAATCATGATGTTCTAAATTATCATCATTATAGCTAGAACTACAAAGATTTGTTGCAAAACAGCCTCTCGTATTTCAGGCAAAATGCAAATAAACTGAGAATTGCAAGTCTATAATTTTCTAAGAAACTGCAAGAAATCCAGGAAGGCAAGACCGATATAATTTACTAACTTGGTTTTACACTTCCCAGGTCCGTTCTCTATCTTTTGCTTTCTGTTAAAGCTGTTCAAGCTCTTCAATTTGGAGAGCCTTAATATTATTTTTTTCCCCAGCGGGGTTGAGGACACTGACAGTAGGGCTGGATTTGTCACACAGCTGGAGTCCTTCTCCTGGTTACGCTTCCCAGACTTTCAGCAGCTTCTTTGGTCACGTGGAACCCCCCTTATCTGCACAAAAGCTCCAGAGAGCAGAGCACACTGTGCACCTTGCTCCTTCCTGGCATATTGCATGTTTTTTCTGGTATATGTGGTATTTTATAACTGTATAAAGAATGCCATTTTTTATACTATAGAATGTTACTTAAAAAAAAATAAAATCTTAAACTGATATAAGCAAAGGGTCAGAATGACTGATACAAGCACAAAGGACAAAGTCCTGCTCCTCCCACCACCAAAAAAAATAATCCCAAGACAACCTGCCCCCAAAATTTGAAAATAAATACGAGAAATGTCAGGTTCCAAATAAAGTTTGAGGGACATTGGGGTTTGTGTTATAATCCCAGAACAACCTGCCCCCAAAACTTGAAAATATATATGAGAAATGTCAGGTTCCAAATAAAGTTTGAGGGACATTGGGGTTTGTGTTACAAAATGCCACCACATGCCCCGCATTTACATGAATACTTTTGTCAAAAATGGGAAAAGATATTACAAGAAAATAATTATTATATACCATGTGTTCACATATTTGAGGCTTGATGGAAATTTAAACATTTTAAAAATTAACAGAGAATACACATTATATAGATATTACAAACCTCTAGCTTTGCATCCAGATCTGCATCCGAAGCCACAACGTGTTCATCTTCCTTTTTTCCTGTAACTTTTATAAGGGCTTGTTTTGTTTTCCAGTATTTCTGTTGCATTTTATTAACCACAGATTTTTCTTGGCTTTGAGCATATTGGTCATAAAATTCCCTTGGATAATTGCTAGAATATTAAAAAAAATTACAAAACTTCAAAAGAATGTTTAAAAACTAAGTCTCACATGCTAGATTAATACATTTCTATCAAGAATACTGCATTTGCATGCAGACATATATTCTAACATGCATTTCCTCAGTATGCATTAATAAGAAAGCAATTAAATTATTACAAAACTTCAAAAGAATGTTTAAAAACTAAGTCTCACATGCTAGATTAATACATTTCTATCAAGAATACTGCATTTGCATGCAGACATATATATTCTAATATGCATTTCTTTAGTATGCATTAATAAGAAAGCAATTAAATTAGTATTATATTTCCTGTCCCCATATGAAAATAATACACAGCTTTCAATTTAAGTGTCTTTAGCATGTAGTACTGCCAAATAATCAGCTGCAAAGAATTCTTACCAATGCATTATGGAATGACTGGAACGGAATGCCCATGGAATTAACTTCTTATTTTTATATAACTAATAGGAGAGTTTTGAGTGAACTAGCAGAGTTGCATAAACAGGTAGCAATTTTCACACGATTTCAGCAGTGTTAGGATGTCACAAAGATCATTTTATGAATGGAATTTGACTACTTCTTGCCCTCCCTTTTTTACAATTGGATAATGAAGAATGAGATGAACACTCATCTCTTTTGAGGATGCTGTGGGCAAGACAAGAGAGCTCATGTCTTCATTCAATGACTACGTGTCAACCGTGGGGACCTAATAAGTATAAGTAATAAGTAATAATAAGTAATCTTTTTTTCAAGGATTATTTTCTACTGACAGATGCTTCTGCATTCCTCTGGCAGGCCTAATAAAAAGTGCAATCTAAAGACAAACTCCATATTCCACAATATTTAAACCATATGAAGCCAGTTCAATAGAAAATATAGCCTTGCAATGAAATGTTGATCTCTTTCGGGAAGAGTTATTCCATTATTTATTTCTGCAAAAGTACATGCATATACAGAAAGCTGCAGTGATTTTGCAGATCTTTAGAAGTAAACCGTTGCTAAAACTCACTATGTGAAATACTCCAGGAAAACTAAAGAGGTTGAGTTTATTTTAGAAAAAAAGAAAAAAAAAAGACACCCTTGACTGTGGGACACTCCTGAGATACTGCCCACTTGCTCAGTTCACACAACACACACAGCTCAGGGATGAGGCCCCAAGAGGTTCTCAGCTCTGACAGACACACCAAGTTTCAGTCACTGAGTTTGGAGACAGCACCTCAATCACCAGAGAGATGGTAAGAAACTAAACTGGAAGCCAGCAAGGACAAAATTCAAAAAGCACTTACACACTGCACTTCTTGGCTCCTTCCCCAAACTTTAAAAGCAAACGTATTCACCCATTTAATTCTCCTCAAACTTAGCTCCATAAGTTTAATTTATGGATTACTTTAAAATGAAAATAAAAGCCTTTTTGCTGCTACAGCACAAAATAAACAACACAAGCAAAACATACCACATTTCATGTGTAATTCTGCCCAAACCATTACACTCTGACAACATGACAGCCTCTCCAGGTAGGTAAAGCCTATATTAACTTGATATATGCTGCACCTTTAAAAGACAAAATCTACAACCTCTAATAAATAACAAGAAGATCCCCTCTGCATTATGAGAAAATATGAGAGTTGAGGAAAACCTGTACTGCTTTAAAAACAATAATAATTAACAAAAAAAAAAAATCAAAGTGCTCACAAGGCAGTAGAATGACCTCAGCTGTCCGGCCGGTTGTGTGCTTTAACTTGTGCTACAGCTGTGCAAATAACTGCTATCTGAGTTCAGTGCTCAAGTGAAGAAAACACCATCATTCAGCTGATGTCAACCAGCCTCAATATTTACCTCACCTGAGGTCACTAGAAATTCGGGGGGGGGGGGGCAGGGGAATAATGAGTCATTAATATGCAGTCATCAATAATAAAAAAAAAGCTGGAATTGATAAAAATTCCTGAATAAGAGACTGATAAACCAATTAAAAGAATAGAGGAATATAATTTTACAACTGCAGAAAAATTCAGCTCCTAGTGTCATCTGGAGAATTTACTCACTCCTGTTTACGCTTAAGATAAAGATTTATAATCACTTTACCAAAATATTTGGTGGACAATTTTTACCGGTAGACACTTGCTGATACCTTTTAAAACATATTTTGTGTCAAGCAATCATGAACACATTTAGGATTTTGTAAGCAATCAGAAAATACAACTAAAACAAGGATGTACGTTATTCTGAAATTGACAACACCAGATAAGCCTCTTGGAACATGACAATTCATGCTCTTCTTTCCATTAAGCAGGAAATTGATAACATCTGCTATTTTCCCATCAAGTCAAATAACTTGTTTTTCCATTTTTTGGCAGTTTTTCATTTTGATTTTTTATTCTTTTTAAACAGAATGTCTGCCAATGACTTCATATAAACACTAGATGCCAGAACATAACGTGTAATAGTCTCAGGCAGTGACAAATCAACGTACCAAACACCATTAGCTCTTCAGAAGAAGAAAAAAATTATCAAGGTACTTACTACTTATGACCTTCCATGTTTCTTGTTTTCTTCACACACTGAAATAAAATAAGAAACTAACAGTTAATACAAACATCTTTAAAACACCATTTTCAAGTTAGACACTAGAAAACTAGAAAATGACTACATAGTAGCATCTCGTTTACTATGTTATGACAGAAAACTTTTCAATCTGTGGACCAAATGTTTTCTGTGTATGAAATACACAATTCTCACCTAAATCCATGGCAAACATGTTTAAGTGGTGTCACTGATGTTGCCAATTATACATTAGCAAGTTTATGTGGCATAAACTCAGTGACTTTTGACAAGGCAAGCCACAATTGTCCATGCTAGGCATCTTCCTCAGTCAGGTTTTTTTTCCCCCCCAAAGTTTTAGCCACAACACAGTCCAGCTACTATTTTCACCCACATCCCACTGATTTGTTGTTTAAAAACACTAGCTACATCCCATCTTGAGCCACGGATGGGAAATTTAACCCCCAGCTGGTCAGATTTCTCTGCCAGGAGATGGCCTTTGGTAAGAGCAGGCAGAGAAGGAACACACCAACAGGTTGCTCTAAGAAACGAAGCAGATTGACTGAGAAAACATTAATGGAAAAATGCTAGAAAGGTAATGGCTCTGGAACCGAACTTTGGCAGTAATCTGGGTGAGAGAGAAAAGGGGCTGTAAGGGAAAGAGGTGACACTGGAAATGTATTTAGCACGGCGCTGCTGACAGACAGGCCGATGAGCACCGGAGCGGCAACGGGAGCGGAACAGATTGCAGGAACCTGAACCAGGGAACACAAACAAGCCGAGTGCTTCCTGCTTCCATTTGGAGCCAAATCCCAGCTTTCCCATTCTAACCCCTCTCCTGTCAGTACCTGTCAAACTCCTGGCAAAGCTCCAGGAGACGCTGCAAGATTCTATCAGAGCAGGAAATTTTCCCCCACTGTAATTTTTGTAAAGCACTGCGGGAGAGACAGGGAGAAAACTCATAACCCCCTCTTCAGAGCAGAGTTTAAATGTAAAGCCCAACAAACAAACAACAACCAAAGAGGAAGAAAGAACTGTTTCAGGTTGTGTTATAGCACCACCAAGACAGACAACACACAGAATGGACAGAATCAGTCACGGGTTCACTGTAGTTTCTAGAGCCATAAGGCACAGGCAGAAATAACTCCAGTTTTCTAACGCCTTTATGCTTGACTTCACTGTTCAATACTGGTCCTCCTTAAGTCAACTTTGGGTGCGTGAGAGAGATAAGAACACAGGATTTAGCTTGTATACACATCCATGACTCAGTTACTCAGCAGCACGCTCCGTTTGACAGGATGCAAAGAACAGTCTATAAAGATGGGAATAAGAGGCATATTATATGAACAAAGTGCAACTGACCAGCACGGGGAACAGGTCTGAGGCACTGACCTTACACACTCTACACGTCCACCTGGCTCTCCTGGAAATCAATGTCCCTAAAAAAGGTAAAAAAAAGAAAAACATATCAGGGTCACGGTGAAACAGTTCTCATTTACAAGCACAGCTCATGCTCTTTCTTCCTAAACATCTGACCTTATATCTCTAGAATCCTCCTAGTTAGACTCCTCTAAGTCCTCCAGAGCACCCCTTTGCCCTTAAGATATTATTTGTGGGGATTTTTGAGTTCAAAGGGAGGACTGTATCACACGAACACAAGCAAGAACATGTGAAATTCCAACTTAATATATGCAGGGAAATTTTCACCATGAGAATGGTCAAGCACTGGAACAAACTGGACACAGCCCCAAGCAACCAGCTCTAACTGGGCCTGGCTGAGCGGGAGGTTGGACTATGAAATTTCCAGGGCTCCCTTCCAACTTCTGTGATTCTGTGAAAATCAGTACAATGTGAAAGAAGATGAGATTGGGGAGCAGCAGTTTTGCTGCTACCATTGGTTTAATACCGAGGACTTTCCACAAGAACGGTCTAAATGGACAGCAGAAGAACATTGCACCATGACCACTGTAGCTACACACACAAAAAAAACCAAAACAAAACACAAAAAACCCAACCAGCCAATGAAAAAAAACCCACAAACATATTTTCTAAGAGTTATCTACAATATTTTCAGCTTTTAGTCATATTATGTTCATTCATAGCCAAAACTTTTAACATTAACAACCTTCATTCTTCAGGTACTGGTACGTGTACAACGGAAACTATCCCTGAACTCATTTAAGAGCCTCATTATTTTTATAATCTCTAACTTCATGTGTTGTTACTGTCTAGTCCAAGGCCAGGAACCAAAAAGGGTTAAGTTATTGGTTCAACTCTAACAAAGGACATTATTGAAAGCATCTGGGATAGCTGGAAGTAGCGAGATTTTACAAAAATATCCCAAAGTCCTCAGTTTAATGACAAAAAGTGCGAGATGCAAATAAAAGGGGACCAGGAACAGCCCAGGGAACTATTAAGGAATTAAAAGGAACACTTCATAACTATGCAGCAAAGAAGCTCTACAGTTGTGAGACACTGGGCCTGAGGCTGCAGAGGGAAAGACCAAGAAGGAGCACAAAGCCTTTGACCACTTTAGGTTTTGAACTGTTATGCTGTCAAAGAAAAAGACACCAAGAGAAGTAACAAGAGTTACACTGGAAGCAGATGACACCAACTAGAATACACCAATACCTTCCCCAAACACTGGAGATAAACTTTAAATTAACCTGTGTTACCATACAGTTTTACATATAAAAACAAGCTTAATCTGCCAGAAGGAGCTGATGTAAGGGACTATTTTTCTTTTTTTCTTCCCAGTGTATTAAGGCAAAAAAATGTTTCAAGAAATAATATTATGCTGACACTGATTAAAAAAAAATAGCATTTACCACTCCTATACAAATGCTTTCCGATTGAAAGTTTCCATTACCTTTGATGATAAAGAGTTACATGACACTTGTGATCTCCATGAGAGACAGCCTTTATCTTAGCTAACAAAAGGTAGGGATACGGGGGAGGCAGAGGGAGCGGGGTGGAGGGAACAAATATAATATATGCTAGGGAAAGTTTATCTGGGTTGTAGGCTGTTTACCCACAACTTATTTCCACTGGTAGCCAAAAAATAGCTGGAATGCCCACTGAACTTCATAATACCGGCACGCTGCATCATCCTGTTTGCCTAACGAGTCATTTTATTAGCCATGATGCTGGAATGAAACTTGATGGCAGGGCACCCTCATTAATGAATGGAGTTTCTATTCCTACAGAAACATCCTCTGGTTCTGTATATTCTCCAAAACCATCCAAATGCACCATCTACATTTTTCTGTGCAAAGAGGAAAGTGCTATCGTGGTGTTTTGAGTGACCTAAATTCCCACTTACCCTCCAGCTCATGCTCTACATGACATTTGGACACACTTCTGTTTTTTTAGCTTTATTATACTTTGTTGCAGCTCTTCCATGAGCTCAACAACTTTATACAAGTAGCATCTGAAGATTACTTATAAGAAAAAGACAGTATAAGTGCCTTCTCTCCAACAGCTAAATAATGACAATTCTGTGTATCAATGTTACTCAGATAGGTTTTCTTTTCCAGTGAGTGTAAATATAAGCAGTGTCATGTAGGAAGGTAAAATTCAGATCTTAACGCTCTCCTGGGTTATGGGGAAATCAATTAAAAAGCAAACTTTTTTTTCCCCCCTTAATTCAAGTATCTGTCCTTTGCTGAGCATGGGTTACACAGCTCTTACAGTTTATCCCACAGATCCCATAGTAAAAAGCAGGAAGCAACCAGGCAGCAAACAGGAATCTTTTTAACTGTGAAGACTGTACCTAAAATGAAACGTTCATCTAATCACAGCTTCTCAGAGCCAAGAAATGAGCTGAAACCCTTGCAAAAATGTTACAGATGCTGGTCTACAGGTCGAAATTAACATCCAGAGATGAGCAGCCACAGTTAGGTAGGAAGGCAGTAGATTGAACACCACCGTCTTCCAAGATGCATCCAGAAATGATGAAAGGGAACTGAACGAGGGGGAGCAGAATTCAGCAGCCTCATGTGAAAGTGGTGTTCAGCAAAAAAGGCACAGGAGAGTCTGCGATTTCACCCACAGCACTGTCCCCTCACTTTATTACCCTTTCAAAGCACCTAACACGTTCTGAGATCCTTCAAATCCCAGCAGATTCTGCACCTTAAATATCCTGCATCTTTTAACTTCAAATACGGCAGAATTACGCATTGCATTTGATTTACTTAGTGTAACAGTTTTATTAAAACGAACAATCTTCCAAGAAGCTTTTAATACAGTAATAGTAGATTGGTACTAAGTAACAAAAAATATGAAGAACATCAAGGACTTCTCTCTGTAACAGTTAAGAGTGATAGTTTCATTTATGTAACACACTCTAAAGGGAAGAAAATGTGCTGAGGTGAGGGAATCAATGCCATCTGTGCCTCTTCAACAGCTCTTGGCTGACAACCCGTCCCCACACTCTGCTCCCTGGAAGCTGGGATGAGGCTGATTCAAGTAAATGGGGCCTCCACAGCAAGAAGCAGCTCCGCTGCAGGATGAAGATCAGGCAGGGCATGGTTACATCTTCTTTGGTCTGTCCACAAATACGCAGACCCAACGAGTCAGGAGCTTCAGACCACATTCCGCTTTGCCTTTTCTGAGGAAAAGGGAATCGAGCATCCCCTTGATCCAAATTATCTGCACTTAGAGAGGAATAACCCCCTGCACCAGGACAGGTTGGGGCTGACCTGCTGAAGAGCAGCTCTGAGGAAAAAGACCTGGTGTCCTGGTGGGCAACAGGATGACCATGAGTCAGCAACGGGCCCTTGTGGCCAAAAAGGCCAACGGCATCCTCGGGGGGCATCAGAAAAGCGTGACCAGCAGGTGGAAGGAGGTCATCCTGCCCCTCTGCTCTGCCCTGGGGAGGCCCCATCTGGAGCACTGGGACCAGCTCTGGGCTCCCCAGTTGAAGAAAGACAGGCAACTGCTGGAGAGGGTACAGCAGAGGGCTACAAAGATGATGAGGGGCCTGGAGCATCTCTCTGATGTGGAAAGGCTGAGGGACTTGGGTCTCTTTAGTCTGGAGAAGAGCAGATTGAGAGGGGGGATGATCAACGCCTAAAAATACTTCAAGGGTGGGTGTCAGGAGGATGGGGCCAGTCTTTTCTCAGTGGTGCCCAGGGACAGGACAAGAGGGAACGGGCACAAACTGAAACATATGAAGTTCCACCTAAACATGTGGAGGAACTTCTTTCCTGTGAGGGTGGCAGAGCCCTGGCAGAGGCTGCCCAGGGAGGTGGTGGAGTCTCCTTCTCTGGAGACATTCAAACCCCCCTGGACACGTTCCTGTGGGACCTGCTCTGGGTGACCCTGCTCTGGCAGGGGGTTGGAGGAGATGATCTCCAGAGGTCCCTTCCAACCCCATAGCATTCTGTGATTCTGTAATTGTGAATGCAGAAAAAGAGTGAAAACCTGAAGTCCAGGTCTATATAGGGATTCAGCATCAAGATTATCCCTTCCAAGCGTTCCTACTCTCACCACAGGAATAGCTACCGCTGTAATTCAGCTAAAGTGAATCTGGAGTTCAAGTTACATAAATATGACAAATGACAAGATTTAATTTTTCCTCTAAAGCTCTTAACGCTCATCATTGATGTTCTAATCCTGCGGAATCATCCATGCTTAGCTTTAAATCCAGGAGTATTTTCATTCTGTTAGACTACTCACTGACACACTTGTTTATGAGTTCAAAAAGTTTGCAGATTTGGTGCACAAGCGCTGCATTAGCAGTTCCTTCCTTCCACTACAGCAGTTCATCTATGCCTTTCTCTCGGACAGACCCACGGCTTCATTTCTTGTCCTGGGAAACCTCTATCTTCCAGGTTATCCACAAGCTCCTCAAAAGAAATATTGTAATCTTATAAGGGAGAAGTTGCATCAACAGAATTATTACTCTTTCAACCTAATTCAGGAGTTGACACCTAGAAAGAAGTTTCATACATTCTTAAAGAAAGCACAGGGGGAAGTGGCATCTGTTATAGAGAGAGGGACTCCTGCTATTCTCATACACCTGTCAGGTGCTGAGGGGGAAGGAAATTCATGCTGGTTGACCCCACCTATCTGCCTGTGGTGCCTAAATTACATTACGAGCCTCTCAATACTAAGCCCCTGTGAATAGAACCAACCTCCACAGAGCCACTCTGAGCACCTGAACCAGAACCTCAGCAATGTCCTCTGAGCGCACAGAAACGACGGTTTCTCTATGAAATGCCTTAACTACATGGCTAAATCACGCAGTAAGAACTGGGATTTCATGGTGGTCTGTTGACTTAATGGAAAAAAAAAAAAGATAGATCAGCACACTGAGCAACACATTGTGCTTAGGACACAGACACATCCCCTAAGCCCACTGGAACCAACTTTCGCTTTCACTGGAAGCACTTCTGGGACAAAGCTTTCTACACACAATTTCTTCCACTTCTTTCTC